CTTTAAGATTTGCCTACTTAGCCTTTAGTGGAGCGAAAAAGGATTCTGAGCAGGCCCAGACATTTCAGCCCACCCAAGCGGAGAGGGGTGGAGAGAGGAACTCTCAAAATTGCCTAGTTCTATGTAAGAGACAGGGAGCTCATTGGAGTGGCCCCTCCAACTCCATTTTCGCCATTAAAAACTTGTCAAGAATAAAATCTTTCTTTCATTCATAAAGTGCACCCTATGGGCTTACGAACTGATGTATACATATAATCATGTGACCACATAGGGTAATAATAGGGCTTGTTGCTCTAATATGTAATGCCTTCCGCACGAACGAAGTTCATCTAAGGAAGGGTATCAAATGTGTTCGAAGAAATTGAAAGTCAATTATTCATGAGATGATCCAAGTCCACACCAAGCTGGAGATCAGCAGAACGGAGAGGACCACTCAGGACTAATGAATTCAGAATGATCAACCGCGTATCGTGGGCGTTGCAATGGAGATGAAAACCCTATCCAGTTACGTGACAGCACAGAAAGAATGCATGTGAACCGCTGTATAGAAAACCGCTGCCTTAAAGGCACAATCCACGCAGAAGCCGTGTTATCGGTTTTCTTCTGTCTTTAAGATAAACCCTTGGGACAATCACGGATGTGGCATTCCCGTGCACGGAAATCGACCGACAAGAGCGCTAGGCCTTGCAAAGTAAGCTGCAGCAGCTGCAATTTTTTTCTTTTATCAGGCTGTTGTCTGGCGCCCTCTCATCTGTTGCGCTCTCTCGCCTCATACTCTCCTCTCCGCGCTTAGTCTCTCATTCCCTTAGCACAGCCGATTAGGAAGGTGAGTGAGCCCTTAACCTGAGCGTTTTCGACGGATTCTTTTCCTTTTTCTTACTGCCGGCCCATTTCGCACCAATACATTCGCATTCGTGTGCGAGAACCACACCATTTGATCTTGGAAAATGCCTTTATTTTCAAACACAATCTTGCGAAATTACGGAGAACTATATCCAAAATTGATTTTTCTCAAAAGAACATGTGTTTCTCCTTAGCACGACTCTTGAGACCACCAGCAATTGAAAGATCAGTCAGGCCTGCTTAAATGGTTGTCAGAGTTGAGCAAAATGGTAGTAGTTAATTGGGATCACTTTGCGAAGTTCATCTTGTAGAGAAGTAAAGTGCTTCATTTTTTGTGGGGGATTTCCACTTGTCTTGAAGGCAGGTGATCACAATACCTGGAGGGCAGTGCGGTTTTGATGACGCCATTGAATGTCTTTAACACGTTGACGACAGCGTGACGCGGTAACGCGTCCCACTTTGCGCACCTCGTGGGACATTGTGACGCGGTAACGCGTCCCACCCAAGTCATCCCTTTTTCTTGCGCTTGCGCGACTTATTCCTAAGGTCTTTGTACTCATTCTATAGGCCATACATTAGCATACTTAAAACCACATGGCTCACAGAAAGGCCAAATTATTTTTAGTTTGGCAGAGGTTTTCCAGACCTTACGGATATGTCTGTTCAGTTCATTCCTCGTTTTCTTTTCATTAACGTAACATGTTGATAAAAAGGAATAATAGAAGCGAATACAAGCCTGATCGTATGGGAAGATATGTGTTTTTACTGAAACAACCACGTCCAAATTAATTTTGGAAACCACTAAAAAGAAAGTAAAATTTGCCCTTTCATGGCCTTAACACGTTATTTCGGTCGAACTTCCATTACTTCAACTCCCCATAAGTTAAACAGATAGAACATTATATGGAAACACGTTGATCGCTTCGATGATTATTGCGTATTTGTACAGCTCAAGAACCCTGGATTTGGCGTGCGCCTGTTAATGGACTGGACCTCATTGCGCTGGGGTGTGGTTGAGACTGTCTAAACGTCCTCATCGCATTGACGTTCAATGACGACATCAAAACCGCAACGCCTTCTGCCATGCCGTGGTCAACAACGCGTCGAAACGTGAATCAGTTCTCGGTTCTTCTTTCCTGTTGGCTGTTTCGAGCACAAATAAATTAATAAAATTAACAAACTGATAGCCTTTTGAGTTACCTGGTGGGGGAAGGAAGCCACATTTGCGTATAACCGTGACCTCGTTGTAATACTTGTCGTGAATATTCATCATAAAATGTAAAACCTGAAATCGTGAAAATTGAACAATCTTCATCTTGGCTAATTCTTCCATATTATACCACAAGCTTATAATGTTAGGAATCAAAACACGGCCGCCTACCTGAGAATACGCGAACACTGGCCACAGGAGCACCATCACGCAGCCGAGCGCGATCAGCACTTGAAGAGCTGCATACTGAAAGTGGCGCACTGAATTTGAGCTTGGACTACTTCTTAATATGTATGTATATCGTACATTATACGAAGTTATACGAAACCTCTTGGCAAGCCATGTAAGGTTCTGAACAAAGGAGATTGGGAAGAATTTGTGGTCACATATTTTGTGCGGCATTCCTTGTCCTGCCGATGGTACAAAATTAACTCATTAACGGGACGGCCAGTGTATTCTGCTTTGTTTACCCATTTGCGCCCACCTAGTGGAACGGGCGACAGCAACAAACACTACTTGAATAACCACACAAGGGTACGAGTATTCCAAAGTATAGAGGATTATGCGAACAGCAGGGTTAAGACGGGGCTAAAGTAGGTGTCCTTGTCTCATCATCCAAAAGAAGAGATTTCCGTTGACGACAACTTCGTAACCCGCCTTTCCGCTTTAAAACTAGGGTGCAAAGAATGAATGGAAGCTGCAGGTGAAATCATGGAAAAATGCGGAACAACAACCCCGAGCAAGGATGTGGCTATATTTAGGGGAAGGGGTCTCGGACGTGTGAACCATCTGTAAGCCATCCATCAAATAGTAAGCTTATGAAAATTAAGACAAATGTATGTAAAATTTATTGTAGGTTTGTCAAAAATCCACTCGTCCAGGTCCTGGGAAGATATGTTATTCCACATTGCTGAGAGTATATACGGGTATATTAAGATTGCTAGAAAATTAACAAAAACAAAAGAAATAATCGTGCGCCACCATGTGGCGCACGCCGTCCGTTATGGGTTAACAGAGGACGACAAGATACGAAGTTATTACGCCTCGTTACCGACTATGACTCCCAAGAAAGTGAGTTTTACGATGCTGGAACAAAACATGCCCATTGTCTGGGGTTTCTTCACGTTTTCACGACAAGCCAAGCCAGCTTTCAGGTATAAGGATCAGCGAGCTTGCCGTTCTTGTGGGAGTGAACATAATTTTCCAGCACTGGACGATGTCCTAACAGTGAAATGAGTGAAATGGCAATTCTTTGACATCTCCTTCATATTTTTAATAGCAATTTCAGCGAGGAGGTTCCTATTTTGTTCATCTACTCATTATGACGTCCTCAAGACAAAAATTACCATAAAATTAATGTTCATGAAAGAGACATATGGGCAGTGGAGAAGCTAAAGGAGTGTCTTCGTACATAGACGAGAGGTGGAGCTGTTGCAGCAAAGAGCGCAGCGTGTTTGATAAAAAATTACCGCAAGCGTTCAATTTTCTTTCCCAAGGGTACTGTTGCGCCGGCCAGCAGCAACCGACCGTAGTAGCCTTCATGTCAGTGGTTCACTACACTCGAAGGACCTCTGTTCGCAGTAAACTCGTCTGCATACTCGAACAACAAACTGGCTAAATGAGTCGCAATTTTTGGGTTTTTGATCGTTCCTCCTTTCTGTTCAAAAACGCACCAATTGGCACATTTAAACTCACATTTCAAAGTTATCACTTTGTCGCGAGAGCTGCCTTTGAGTGAAATGCATATTTCATAGCGCTAGATGTTGTAGTTTCTTGACCTATTGCTCAAAAGAACATCCGGCTCCGTGCCCACCTCTTCGATTCCGCTGTCCTTCCTGCCCTAACCTACGCCTCAGAGACTTGGACTCTGCGCAGGCAGGACGAGCATGCGGTCAGCGTTATCCAACGCGCTGTCGAGAGGACGATGCTAGGAGTAACCCTATACACGCAAGTGCAGAGGGGAATCCGGAGTTCGGAACTACGCCAACGATCGAAGATCGACGCTGCCGTTTTCGCCAAGGAACGAAGATAAGGTGGGCC